TCGGCCAGGCGCGGGGGCCCGCGGTCGGGGCGGCCATCCGCCCTGGCCTCCTGGGTTAGGTCCACAATGCCGCGTGGCCCCGATGCTGCTGCCTCTTCACGGGCTCGCGGGTCTTTCTTGCCGAACAACAGGGGCTGCTCCCCGCCACGGCCCGCCCTCTCCTTGGTTGTCCCTTCTCGCGAAGAGCCTTTGGCCGAGGTGCCCGTGGAGGCACCACCGGGGGTCCTGGAGGACGGCGCGTGGGGATGCAGGGCGCCGGGCCCCGGGGCAGGCAGGTAGAAGCCGTCTGTGAAGGAGGAAGACGGTGTGAGCACGGTGCAAAAAGCGGCCCTGGGAAGGTGCCATCCAGAGAGGGGCGCAAAAGGCACCCAGGCAGCCCAGCCCGGGAGGACCAGGCTCTGAAAACGGAGCTGGCCACCTGGGGGCCACAGGGGAGCCCAGCTGGCTCGAGGGGTTTAGACAGGCTACCCTGGGTGCCAAAACCCGCCAGCGCTCCAGGACCAGGATAGGACAACCTGCTTCCCGCAAGTTAAAGGCTGCATTTGCCCAAAGACAAAGCCTGCAAGGCAGAGAGCAGTAAGCTGGGTGAATTAATGGAAATGCAATCACAGAAAGGAAGTGGAGATACACCGTAGGTGTTGTAACTAGTGTTCTAAAACTCAGTGTGTATGAATAGCTGGAGGAAAAGCCTGACTGCTTTCTAAACTCAAATCATAACAAGATAAACACTTAAAAGATTAGCCCCCCTCAATGAAAGGGGCAGGGTGACTATTCTACAGGGTCAAAATCACTGACCCGAGGGCAATGGAAAGGTCCAGAAGGTTAAGGAGGGGAGTACTTGAAGGTCTAGGGGCCCATGGGATAAGGCACTTGGAGAAGAGCTAGCATGCTGCCTGCCCTCTGGAGTAACAGGTGGTCTGGGGGGGCGCCCCTCTCCCCAGAAGCTCCCTAGCCCCTCAGCACAATCTCACCCAACACTGCCCCCCCTCACCTTTCTGCGAGTCAAAGATGCTGGGCTGACCCAGCTGGCTGAGGAGGGGGCTCCCACTGCTGGGGGGCTCCAGGTGGTTCAGGTGGAGGTAGGATGGGTACAGCCCACTGGGCAAGTGCGAGAAACCTGGAAAGAGAAAAAAAAAGCAAGGTGGACTAGATACCTGCCAGGAGGCGCCTCCTCCCAGAGACAAGGACGTGGGTCTGCGCCAGGCCCAAGCTCCTTCTGATCCTGGCAGCCCCAGAGCTCAGCTGCTCGAAGCCCCGGGAAGAGGCATCAGATGGGTCCAACCAGAAGAATGGGACCCTGAGTCACATGCCCTTTCAGACCTCAAAACAACCCGACAGGCAGATACTCGAAATGCCTCCAATTCGTGGCTGGCAAAACTCAGGCTCTGAGACATCAGCTAGCCCACGGTCACACGGCAGAGGAGCTGGGTGTCGAACTAAGGCCATCTGACTCTCAGCCCAGATGTGCTGACCTGTGGTCACTACCAAGTGACGCTGAGTGGGTCCTGAGTTGACTCTGCCTTCCCCTCAGTCATCTCCCAGGCAGGGATTCAGTTACCCTAACCTTAACTGCAAAGGGGCCCCAGTTGAACAGTGGGTTAGATGCTGGGCTGATGACTGAAAGGTGGCCGGGCTGAATCCACCAGCTGCTCCGCAGGACAGAGCCAGGTCATCTCCTCTTGTGAAGATTCTCAGCCCTGGAGCCCAATGGAGGGAACTCTAGACAGACCTGGGAAGCTCTGAGCTTGGAAAGACCCAGCACAGTCCTGCACTGGGATAGGGGGATGGAGGGGTATACAACCCCCAGGACCCAGAGAGGACCTACAGGCTATCTGAGAAGGGGGAGGGCCTGTGGCACCCAGTACCCAATCATGGGAGAGCATGCGGTGGTGCAGAGGAGCAGGGGGCCTCCAGCAGGAAACCAGGTGTCATCAGATGCCCGTGTTCGGGGCATGAGCCAAGAATGCATGCAAGAGGGTCCTTGCTGCTGATGTGCACAGAACAAGGACGCCCCATGGTCCAGCCACCCCACGTGGGCAGCAGCGGCCAGCAGTAACAACACAGTCAGACCTTTGGTGAAGCGCCCTCTGCTGGCTATCACATTTCCCCCAGGTCCTCAAAGAGAGACCTGTTATCACAAAGGCAGGAGAGGGGTCTGGGAGGAGAAGGTGAAGGCGGCAGTGAGCTGAGCCCTGAGGAGTAATAGTCAGGCCAGGGTGGGATGCAGGCTGCAAGCAGCCGGAGTGGCATGTGGAAAGGTCCCGTGGCAGCATCCGGCATGAGGACTAGCATGAGGAAGCCGGTGCAGCTGCAGCCAGGGGGAGCCAGGAGGAAAGAGGCCCAGCCACACAGGAAGTCAGCTGCCTGGCTGGAATAAGGACTACAGTTGACAGAAGAAGAAGACATGCCTCTAAGTTATGCAGGAGGAGAGTATTCCAGCCGGGGGTCCCCAGGGAGAGTGAGGCCCAGCCACACAGGAAGGAGCGGGTACAAGGTGACAGGGAAGGGGGGAAGGGAGGGAAGGGGATGTAGAGAGTACAGGCGTAAACTCCCTGGTACAGAGGGGACAGTGGCCCAGCCCTCAGCCCGCCCACCTGGCCCACTCCTTACCTTCATGGGCGTGGGCAGCCCACAGCTGCACCATGGGCAGGTTGCTGGGGGTGGGGGATCGGAAGGAGAGGTCAGAAGGCAGGGGCACGGGGCTGCCGTGGGCTGAGGCCGAGGGCCCCATCCCGCTGGCCACTAAGCTGCCCAGGAAGGCCTCGCCTGCAAAGAGAAGGGGCTGGTCAGTGATTCTGCCAGACAGCTGTCACCCTGAGACCTCCCCCCACTTCTTTCCCACAGGGAGGCCAAAGGGACGTTCTCTACCCACTGTCCCCACACCAAGGGCTCAGGACAACACAGAAGAGACCCAGCGCCCTCCCTGTGGACAGGACAGTCAGAGGCCCCATATGCTTATGAAAAGCCAGCTTCATGGAAGCTGGACTCCGCGGATTCGGTCTCGGTTCCTGAGTGGGAACCCAGGCAGAGAAGCGTGAACGTGGCAGGTAGGGGAGAGAGGACAGAGGCGGCATCCTCCAAATCGGGACCAACTGCGGCTCAGAATGACAACTCATGTGGGACACCCCCACTCCCCAAGCCCCACTCCAACGCACACCCCTCAGCACAAAGGGTCTCCACCTCCTCAGGTAGGGTCTCCAGTCCACAAGGGGATCAGGAGCCCTGGCAAAGGGCCAGCAAAATGCGGCTGCAAAGCCCCCTCCTGGAACTGTGCACACAGTGCGGTGACGGTGACAGCAGCTGCACAGTCACCAAAGCCGCCAAAGGCTGGGCCAGCTCCACAACCGCCCCACCGCCCCACCACGCCGTAGGACGGGCTGCAGCGCACAGGGACATGCACCGCGCTGAGGGCTCTGTGCGCACCCTAGGGGGACGGGCGACTCGCAGGGGACACAACAGCTGGACGACGGCAGCAAGCCAGCAAATGTGTGGCTCAGTGTCATGAACCACCCCCCAAGTCCACCCCCAGCTGATGCGCACTGACCCCACCCCAGGGACACAAGGTCCCCAGAAATCCAGCCCTGCCCTACACACACACACACACACACACACACACACACCCACCCACCCCTTGCCGGCTGTGCAAAACCAAAAGGTGGAGCTGATTCCAAGCCACCGCGACCCCGCTGGGCAGAGAAGCGCTGGCCCAGAGGTTTCTGAGGCTGGAAATCTTTATACAGAAACAGAGGGCTCCATCTTACTCCGGCAAAGCAGCTGGGGGATTTGAACCACTGACCCATGGTTTACAGTTACTGCTTAACCACTGCATCCTCAGAGCTAACCCCCCTACTAGGACACCGGGACAGTGTGACTCCAAGAGAAGCCCCGTGGTGTCCCCAGTGGAGGGCGCCCTCCATGGCCACACCCTGTCCGCCCATCTGACCAACCCCAGGCTCACCCGACTCCAGCACCAAGCCCTGGGGGCCCGGGGCCGTGGTGGGCAGTCGGCAGCCATGCGGCCGGGCTGGGGCTCAGGGCCCCGGGCCTGCCAAGCTGCTTCCTCCTCGGCGGTGGGCAGACTCCGGAAGCCAGCTTTGCGCAAGCTTACATCAGCACCAGCTCTTCCTGCCCTGGGCGCTGCGGAAGCCCAGTGGCCCCGGCCTGCCCCTGCCCAGGCTTGTGACACCCGCCCAGCGCCCGAGGCTGGCCAGGCCCAGATGCCACCAACGGCTGCTGCCCGCCATGGGGCACAGTTGCGCCTAAGCTTCACCCCCACAACTGGGGCTGGAGAGCTGGTCCCTGGGGCCACAGCTTCCACAGCCGCCCTCCCAGCCTCAGTCTTTTCCTCTGACAAACGGGCAGAGATGGCACCATTTCTTGGGAGCAGGAACTCAAGTGGGACCGGGCTGCACGTTTACTCTCTCCTTGCCCAGGAAACCAGAGTGGGAGCTTCTAGAACAAACTGAGTAAAACTCCAGCTGCTTACAGCCTCCTCGGTCCCCACGATGACCCTGGCACCACCCCTGCTGGCCCCAGAGCAACACTCACTTCCAGCTCAAGGCCACGCCCTCCCTGCCACCAGGTCCCAGCAAGTCCGACTCAGTCCTCTCCGTGGCATTTCCGTGGGATGATATGTCCTGCCCCCACAATCAAAACCCTTGGCACCAGTAAGCAAAAAATCAAAATTTCTTTTCTTTTTTTTTTGCAATGGGAAAGTCTGTTGTCAGGGACTTCGCCACAGTGCTCAGGAGCAATGATGTCAGTTTAAAGACCAAGGTGCACCTGATGAAGGCCATGGGTTTTTCAATCACTTGCTGTACATGATGGCAGAAGAAGTGATGTCACTGAACCGCTACGTCCTGGAGAAGGTGCAGCCAGAGTGCTCCTTGGAGTCAGGGAAGGTGAAGCTTCATTCACATACTTTGGGCATGTTTTCAAGATGGCCTACTCCTGGGCAAGGTGGAGGGTCAGTGAAGGAGGGGAAGACTTTCACCACAGTAACTGCAACAGGGGCTCAAGTGTGTCAGGGACGAGCAGGCTGGCACAGGATTCACTCTTCTTGTTCAGAGTCGCTGAATCGTACTAGACTCAGTGGTACCAAACAGGAGCCAGTCCCCCCCACACACAGGCCCCGCCTGAGGCAGGGGCTGTGCTAGGCTCCCCGGGCCCGGCACCCCCACATCACACAGGACTAACTGCCCACAACCATACTATCCAGGTCCCTGGGGAATGCTGGGGACAAGAGGGGGCAGGTCCAGGACCCAAACAACAGACCTGCCCCCACAGGGCTTCTGTGGCTGTGGCCCTTCAGAAGCAGATCTCCAGGACTTTATTCTGAGGTACCCCTGGGTGGACTTTAATTGCCCAGCTCTGGGGTTAGAAGTCACGCGCCTGACCATTTATTACACACAGGGACTCGGTCAAGTTGGACATAATTCCCACAGGGCTCCACAAGGTTCCCCTCAGCAGAGAGTAAAGTCAGCTGTGATTCAGGGTCACCCTCCGTAGAGTAAAGTCAGCTGTGACTCAGGGCGACCCTCCGTCGATTTCCAAGGATTTAAGTTTCTACAAGAAGAGGCTTCCCTTCTTTCTCCCTCAGGGCAGCTGGTGGGCCTGCTGACCACTGGTCAGCAACCGGACATGTTACACACTTATTCCCAGGACAACCACAAGCAGAGCACTCATGTTCCCAGACGCAGCGGTCACAGCAGCCAAGAGGTGGACACTACCCGAGTGTCCATCGGCAGGGGACACATGGTTTATCCAAACAATGGAATATTACTCAGACATAGAGAGAAACCCAAGTGTCCAGCAAGAGATGGCAAACACAACAGGGCGCGTGTACTCAGTGGAGTGTTGTTGTTATGTGGTGGTGAGTTGGCTGGGACCCACAGCGACCATGAACAATGGCTCTGTACGCCGCCCTAATCTGAGCCAACCTCACCATCTCTGACACGCTGGGCCCCACTGCCACAGTCAACCCATCTCATACAGGGTCTTCCTCTCCTGCGCTGTCCCTCCACCCTTCCAAGCAAGACGTCCTTCTCCAAGGACTGACTGTTCCCGCCTAACAACATGCCCAAAGTATGTGAGAGGGAGTTTCAAAATGCTTGCCTTGGAGGAGCAGTCTGCTTTCACCCTCTCCAGAACAGACCTGTTCGTTCTCTTGACAGTCCATGGTATGCTCAACCCCAGGACCATAGCTCAAAGGCACGATTTCTTCTGTCTCAGCTACACAGCAAGCAATTGAGAAAACTATGGGCTGGATCAGGTGCACCGTAGTCTCTAGACTGACCTTGTCCTGTTCTGTAGCACTCTGGGGAGACTCTTGACAGCAGACTTTCCCCAAGCAGCTCATCTTGGATTTCCTAGCTGCTTAGTCATTAACAGAAACGATGCTCTCATTCAGTCTGGCCGGGTGGATGCGGCAAACCACGCAGGCAGAACTCAGTCTACTGCGTTCGCTTCACTGTGCTGCGGAAAGGCGGCGTTTGCAACCACCGGTGCCTCCTCTCGACCGGTGCCTCCTCTCCAACAGCATGAGCTCCCTTCATGCCACTGGGTCCCGCTATGGGAATTCACACAACATTCCCAACTTCCTCACATCTGTACTGGCCACATCCGTTCCAACCCACAGCGACCCTCTGCCAGGTGTGCAAGTCTGTGAACATTTACATCATGCTCCCAAGGAGTAGCTGGTGGGTTCGAACCGTTAACCTTCTATTTAGCAGCCAACACTTAGGGCGCTATACCACCAAAACTGTTCACAGAACAAGGTAGGGATTTAATCAACACCAACCACTTCAGAAGCCAGCAGTAACTTTCAGATGGAAATAAGCACTTTCTATCCAACAGGATCTGAGGACCCAACGTACAAGGCAATCACCCCATCAAGTCAGCTCTGAAGCACGGTGACACTCCGCTGGGTTTCTGAGGCTGTAAACTGTGACAAGAAGCGGCGGCCCATCCTTGTCCTGAGGAACTGATGGGAGATTAGAACAGCCACCCTGTCGGACAGCTCTACACCGCCACAACTCTTAACAGGCTGCAGATGAGGGTCAACAAAACCCTTCTAAGCACTCAACGTCAGCAAGTTGGAATGGACTCGGCTGGCCCTCCACGAGGTTTCCAAGACTGCAAATCACACAAGGAGACTGTCCATCTTCTCCTGGGGAGCGGCTGGTAGATTCGAACCGCTGGAGAGGTGTGGCCCTGGGGTTGGGATGCAGCGCCTTGTGAACGTGGCCACCTGAGCTCCTTTTTCTAGGCACTAAGCTAAGTGACTCTAAGTCACTGTATCGGAAAGGAATTGGAAGACACAGAAGAATTTCATGAAACAACATATGAGCAAGAGCCTATGGTGATGAAAGAAGTTCAGGCTGCTTTGAAGGATATGGCAAAAAATAAGGCTCCAGGAATAGATGGTATACCAATTGACATATTTCAGTTAACAGATGCTGCCCTGGACGTGCTCACCAAATTGCACCAAGAAATCTGGAGAATGACCACTTGGCCAACTGACTGGAAGAGGTCGATATTTGTTCCCATTCCAAAGAAGGGTGACCCAACAGAATGTGGAAACTACAGAACAATCTCACTGATTTCACATGCAAGCAAGATTTTACTGAAGATTATCCAAAAACGACTGGAA